CTTTTAGTTTATGTTTCGTAGTGCAGTACAAGTAATTTAAGGCTAGCCTTGCAAGAGGAGACTTGGACCATAGCCGATACCCGATAGGGATAGGGATAGGGCGTTGGGCATTCGCTATCATGCATAATAATACGGAAATGTTAACGCCCACACGTGTGGCACGAAAACACTTCGCCCGAACGCTTCCATCATCCTCCATCGCGATTTGCGATTTTTAAAGCGGGAGCGGTTGCCACGTCATGTTTTGTGGGCGTTCGGGCTGAACGAAGCGCGACCGGACGACTATCTTATCCACTCCGCCGCTCACTCTTTCTCCCCCATTCTGTCTCGAGCTCACTCTGCAGATCCCCCACTCCACCAACTTCTCTCTCTTCCTCCCGCGGATCTCACCATCCCCGCGCAGCTCCACCGGTGACCACCGGCCGCGGCCATACACCCTGCTCACCGACCGGGCAGGCGCTCCCCTCCCACCTGGCCCTGTCACGCCAAGTGTGGAGGTGCTCCGCCGGCCCCTATCGGACGCGCGAGCAGGAGCACCAGGCCCGTCCCGGCCGCGCATCCATGGGCACCTCGCCGTCGCGGATGGCGACGTGCAGGGGGCGAGCGGAAATCGGGTGGGGAGGGGGGCTTTGAGGGTGCGGCTGTCGCTCGGGAGCTTCTCTCTCGCAGGGAGCGCGGGCGTGGAGGCTTGACGGTCTCCTCTGCGTCGCCGTCCAAACCGACGACGGGGTGGCTCGCGCCACCTAGCAGGGACGCTCGCTTGTCGACCTCCGACGGCCTCGAGCGTAGGAAGGCGGCGGTGGCTCGAGCGTGGGGAGAAGTACAAGCATGGCGGTGACTCGAGCAAGTCCATTTTCCGGTGAATTTAGTCCCCATCGCGCATGAAGCTCCTCCCGGCGCCACCCCTCTTCTCGTGGGTGTCACCGCTGCAGCGTTGTCGGCATGGCTAGCCCTGGCTATCTACCTGCCTACAACCTGCTCGTTAGCTTGTCACTTCCCAAACACAGGTCCTCCCCCCCTACTGAATGTTTTAGTTTCCTGCCCCGGTGTGAAAATGGTTGTTTCCATGGCAAATTTTATTATGAAAATGGCTAATTCTACTCATTATCTTTCATATGTATGCATGTTCACAAAAATTGTAGCTGAAATATGTGTTTTTGTGCTATCCGCCATTTCATACTGATGTTAATGTGTCTACAATTCCACTTCTTATCAATTTGCCATGCTTCTAAATAAATACATGGCAACTATCCTATTTGTTTGGCGCTGAAAATTGCCATGTGTTCCGATATGCCATACGGCAGTTAATGCATTTACATTTGTCCTCTCATCATTTTGCCGTTCTACTGAATAAATAGATGGCAACCTGCCCTATGCGCGGAACTATAAAAACTTGCATTATTTGCCATGTTTTTGAACCACAACACATCCTTTTTTTTCATATTTCTGAATAAATACATAGCAAATCCCTTTCTATAAAAGTCTGAAATTTGCCATGTTTCATGTTTGTTATGTCTGTTAACAGATACCAAGCAATTGGTATGCTACTGTACCAAATGCTTGGCAAGTTCATCAGATCCATAACCCATCAATTGCCATGGCTGAACTGTTTTTTTGCCATGTTTGCCATCTTCATGCCAACCACAACCCATCATTCTTTAATGGTACTAAATATAGACATGGCAACTCTCCCATGTTCAATCAGCCTAGTTTCGCCCTGTTGGTTTCATGGAAGATGGCAACTCACCCATATGTATGTACATTTTCCTACTTAACAATTTGGCATGCTACCCAATAACTACATGGCAATTTTAATGTTACTATCGTGGCAAATTTAATTCATATAACATGGGAAATCTATTTTTTTTCATGTACCATAGCATTATTACTCCATGTGCCATGGCATTTTGACATTGCATTTGCCATGGAAATTTGTTTTTGATCATTTTGTTTGTGTTATTTTCACATACACGACAATTTTATTACGCAAAAGATGACATTTTTGTTGAAAATACCATGGCAAAAGGAAACATGCATTTGCCATGGCAACATTTGATCACTTTTTTATTATCACATTCTTGGCAAATTTCATGTAAAATTTGATAAAAGAACACGACAATATTTGATACGAATTTGCCATGGCAAGTTTCTCGTTCATACTTGATTCCAACCTTTTGTGTTTTTTCACACGGGGTAAATTCATCATACAAAACACGATAATTCTTGATACGAATCTGCCATGGCAAATTTTCTTTTTCATACTTGATTTTGAACTTTGTAAACGGGGCCACAACCATTCTTCTCTTGTTTACAACATGGCAATTTCTTTTTGAACGGGACCATGGCAATTTTAGTGCATGCATCATGGGAATTATAGTTTATGGATCTTGGCATTTTTTAGTCTATGCATCGTACAAATTTTCTGTTTTGAACGACAACATGTCAAATTTTGTCCTTCTTTCCAACATGGCAATTTTTCTTTTTTAGAATGGGACCATGGCAAACTTAGTCTATGTATCATGGCAAATGTAGTTTATGGGGCATGGCAATTTTTTTAATTATATGGACCGTGGCAATTTTGTTTTTTTTTGTAACACAACAAATTTTCTTTTTTCAAGTGGGCCATGGCAATCTTAGTGCATGTTTCATGGCAACGGTAGTTTATAGTTTTAAAAAGCATGGAAAAAAATTGAATGGATTTTTTTGTGCCGACTACAATATTTTTTGGCCACATCACATGTAATAGATTTGCCATGCTACATGGCAATTTTTCCCCCTCCACATTGGCAAGTTTTTTTTATGAACCATGGCAAATTTAGTTAAATGGATTAGATTTGCCATACTACATGGCAATTTTTTCCAACGGACCATGGCAATTATATTTAATGAAGCATGGAAAATTTATTGAAATGGATTTTTTTGTTGAGTACAAAATTGCCATACTACATGGCAATTTCCACCCTCCACGGACTTTTTTTTGGGACAAAACACGGCAAATTTAGTTAAATGTGATATTTTTTGTCGTACTACATGGCAATTGTTCGCACGGACCATGGCAATTGTATTTTACCCGAACTATGACATTTTTTAGTTAAATGGGATATATTTGCCATATTACATGGCATTTGTTCCCATGGACCACTGCAATTCTATTTTACGAAGCATGGAAATTTTTGTTTCAAAGGGAATAGATTTGCCATACTATATGGCATTTGTTCCCGTGGACCATGGCAATTCTATTTCATGAAGCATGGCAAATTTATTTCAAATGGAATAGATATGCCAAACTACATGACAATTCTATTATTTACAAATCATGGGAAATTTACTTTAAATGGATTATGGCAAATATGTTGTTTTTTTGCCATGCATATTGTGTGTTCAGTACCGAATGTGATAGTGGATGCAATAGATTTTGCCATTTGGTGTAACATAAAATTTTGCCATTTGGTTATTTATAAATTTTTGCAACAAAATTATAGTGTTTGTTTTTACTTTTATTGCCATGGCATTTTACTTTATTTTTGCCATGTCAATTTCTTACTTTTTAAAAAAATTGGCCACGGAAAAGTTACCTTTCTATTTGCCATACAACTTCACATTTATCGCCATGACATTTTTAATTTTCACATACATGGCGATTTTTACCTCCATTGCTCACGACAATTTTGGTTGAACTTTTTTCTTTTTGTGCCATTTTTGCATCAAAAAGGATCTCTTTTGAACCATTTGTTTTTTTAGTAATATCTAAGCTCTATGTATCACGGACATTTTTTTGGACTATTGCAAACATATTTGTAAATATGAAATACTCGGAAAAAATTTGCCATGTGTTCTTTGTCATTTTGGCGAAATTTCTGTTTTTAAACAATGGCAACATGTTGTTATTTCTTTGTTGTTTTTCCTGTAGTTCACATAGGTAAATTGCACTATGTGTCTTTTAACCAACAGTTCTTTTGTTTTTATATAGTTTTTTCACATTTTTTTATATATTTGTTGTTGGGCTTTTGACCGCTTTTGGCCCAGTAGGAGGGGTACAGCTGGAGTCGATCGAACGAAATTGTATGGTCCATGCTGCCTCCCACCGCACGTCTCGGTTTTGGGAAATCGTTCGGTCGATGCTGCTTCCCACCGCACGTCTTCGTCTGGGCGGTCTGCCTCCAGACCACACGTGTGGCAGTTATCGGGACCCTAATAATAATATTTTTTTTTGCGCTGATGCATAATAATAATTAATCCAAAGTACGGCATCCGCTAAATAATAATAAAGTAAAATAAAATCCATGGCTCATGTATGCTTAACCATGAACTACATCAAAGGCAGCATATGTAGTCATACATAATGACAATTGATTGAGGTTCTCAATTAAAACATGATGCTTCTACCATTTTTTTGTTCTTTTCAGGAAATGCTTCTAGCACCAAATTTTAGTAATAAGCAGTCACGCTATCGATATTACCAGATTATTTCAGTAATGACTAGGCCAGATTTCTTTTTTATTTAAGCCACAACAGGAGCACATTACAGGGGGCAAACTGGAGTTGCCAGCACAAAAGTTTGAGCAACAACAGAAAATCTCACACTAACAGTGGAAATAAAGACCGAGAGTACACGTGAGATGAAACCATTATCTCATCGCGCGCTTTACAGCACATATACGAATTTTCACCCGTCCTCCTTGGAGATTTCAGTGAACTCGGATGGCAAATGATAAGAATCCTCTATATGGATGTGTCCTTCGTCACAGAAGAACGGCCGAGAAGGCATCTGCAAGCCATCAACGCCGCCTTCCAGCATCTCTATCGCCTCCCCCATTGTCGGCCGATCTTGGGACCTCATCTGGATGCACCATAATCCAACAATGCACAACTTCTTCTCCAACTCGTGCATGTCGTCAGCAGGAGAAATCTCACGCACTTCTTGTTCAGCTAGTCTGTCATACACCCATGATGGGTAGTAAGACTGGCTTGAGTTTGCTGCATTTGTATCGGCATTCCTTCTTCCTCCAGCCATCTCCAGAAGCAGCATCCCAAAGCTGTAAACATCAGACTTGCTCGATATGAGGCCAAAGCTCCTAGATATCATCTCAGGAGCTATGTACCCAATTGTTCCCCGTAGGGCTCTCGATGGCACAAAACTCTCGTCCCTTGGGTACAGTTTGGCGAGTCCGAAATCAGCAACTTTTGGGACAAAATTGCTGTCAAGCAAGATGTTGTGCGGCTTGATGTCAAAGTGTATAATCTGCATCTCACATCCCTGATGCAGGTAGTTGATCCCTCGAGCAATGCCCAAAGCAATCTCATTGAGCTTATCCCAGGAGAAGGTCTTCTCGCTTTCTGGTGAGAAGATGTACTTGTCGAGAGAACCACCAGGCATGTACTCGTAAACCAGGGCCCTTCTCATTTCCTCTGAGCAGAAGCCCACAAGACGGACCACATTAACATGGTGTATCCTGCCGATGGTGGAGACCTCATTGATGAAATCTTCTCCATTGCAGTTAGGGTTTCCCTCCAGCATTTTGACAGCCACATGGACATCGCCTGGGAGCACACCTTCATACACGGAGCCGTAGCCACCTTGGCCTATCATGTTTCTGAAATGGCTTGTGACTGCAACAATGTCTGTATAGGCATACCTCGATGGGCTGATCATTTGTTGCATCAGTAGGAACTTCTCAACAGCATCAATTGTGATCCTTGTTTTCCAGTACTTGTAGGTAAGGAAGATCAATACCACCAACGGTGCCAACACGAACCTGCATAGGGCTGCATAAAACAAAGTTCAATTAGGGATCATCCATAAATCATAATGGAGTACTTAATTCTCACGTACCAGCAAACAACTTGAAAAACGGCGATGCCACCTGTATTATATACAAGCATATTCCAATGGGTAAGGGAACTTCGGGAACTTCAATTGCGCAACCCAAGAAAATTACATCGACCATAAGAATGCTCAGAATCCAATCTTTAGGGGATGAGCTGCAGAAAAGAAGAAAAATGTAGGATGATCAGATCTTGTGCATGTGCAAAAAAGAAAATTAGAGTTTACAGGTATGAAGAATCCAAACTCACGGCATTGAATCCATCAGGCATTCCTTGAAATTTCCATACCCACGACGTTTGGAAGGAAATCCAACACTGAACCCATACTTCATAAATTTTACAACATCTGCATAGCTCACATTCTCTAATGGCACAGTGCTCCGAGTCTCCTGGCCATCTAGTGGAGTCATGGCCAGAAAACCGCAACAGGGCTCGAGATTCTCCATACTGTCGGATCTTAGGCTAGTTAACACATAAACAAAAGAATGGCTGTTGCTCAGGCAAGCAACAGGCATGTACATACCGTTGTCCTTTACTTCCTGAGAACAATTAACAAAGTTAGCCTGATAAGGTGTTGCAGGGGCTAATTCGACTACCTTGCTGTGAACCCATTGGCCTCGGATTATCCTTATAGGTTCAACAGGGCGCCAGTTCCGCTTCCAACGAGGTAGAGGGCAGTTGTTGTATAAATCCAAGTCGGCATCAATGACCCAGAAGGTATGAATGATGTAGTTGATGGCAGACACATAGTATGTTGCGTTGTCGATGCTAATTGTAGCCTTAGTATCACTGCAAACTAGCTCGTAAGATTGATAACCGCACCCAGGTGGATCACTTGCCTGTCGAAATGGGGACGACACATTTCCAAGAGGGCCGCACGAGAAAGAAGGACAATTAAGCTGATGATGTCGCCCTTCTGCCTGACCTGCAGAAAGAACTGCAAGCACAAACAAGACAGTTAAGGCCTTGAGAGCAGGGAGCATCACCATGGCAGGCTGGTTCACAGGAACACAGATGCACAGATGAATGGCTGAATAAACACCAAAGGAGGGTAACTACATGCCAGCTAGTGCCCTTACGTGACTGTGATGTTGCTGACAAGAAGACTTAGCTACTTGCTGCCAGCCAAAGTTGGGTACATCCCGCCTACTGGTCATGTACGTGATGGTGATATTCTTGACTCTGTACCTCTTGATTAACGGAAGAGTCAAAGTGTACTACAGTAGCATCCTCTGGTCCAACCCTGTCTTAGTCACATTAAGATGACAATTCAAACTTCTGCACAGGGCAAGTTTCATCTAGTTAGATTTGTACAATTATGTCAAAGAAAAGAATAGTCTAAAGAAGCTCCACATGACTGTGATGTTGTTGACTATGAGACTAGCATGTCACCACCAAGCCAAAGTAGAATGGTTGCATAATCTTGCTAACGACCCCTCTTGATTAACAGGAGGCGAAGAGTCCAAGTGTACTACTTTAGAGTTATTTTACGGTCCAATTCTGTCCTAGTTACAGTAACATGGAATCAACGCCTTCAGACAGTGACAAGTAACAGTGATCCAAAAATGACAGATAAATACTATTCATTTGAGTTATTTAGTATATCAGGTAGCAAGGCATGTTTCACAAAAATGAGAGAACGCTCTCTTTCATAAAAAAAAGGTAGCAAGGCATGTTTCACAGAGAAAAATCTAAATCTGATCCATTTTACAACCCTACTCTACAAAGATAACTTCCTATAATTTCCTTAATATACTTAACACTAAGTGCAGATTATATTGCACTTGATATTTCCCCTGGTTTCCGCTGTCTGCAGATAAGAACGAATAGGATACTAAAATAAGCTAATAACTGTAGCACTTTTTAACTAGTAACTGAAAGCAATGGCAGTGCTAACCACAGCATCTCCATATGTCTGATTGATTATTTCAATGATGATTGGACTACAACCAGAGACACTGTAATCAGTCCTCAATCAAGCAGCTATCCCAATGAGTCAACAAGCCTTATCATGATTCAAACTTTGCACATGGTGCTTTACCAGGTCAGAGTTCACGAGAGTTTATTATAGTAGAAGAATGCAAGGTCCATGTAACTGCACATGTATAATTTAACCCAGAGGTGTAGGAATACAGGGTTGAAGAAAACTGAGGGCGTCTGGCTGGTGAAATGGGAAGAATAGTCTAAACAGTGATAGCATCATTCATTTCCAGACACCACATAATTTTTTAAGCCACTCAACAAGGCAGAAGTTCCAGTAGTAGCTTGGAAAAGTCGCACTCAGACACACAGCTATCATGACAAGCACAGCATCAGTACCCATAGGAGTTTAAAGCAAATAAGTGACAACTTCCTATACTCTCTACCTTCTCTTCTTCCATCTTCATCCCCAATACATTTTTCATGGACTTCTCTGAATTTCTTGTCACGCTGCTGCTGGTATGTCTTCTCACCTATGAATCCTATGTCGAAGCAGCATCGGTGGACCAAGATTTCTTAAGAACTTGTCCATCTCACCGATGCAACAAACATGGACCCAAGATCCGGTTCCCCTTCCGGCTTTCAACCGACCCACCATCATGTGGCGCCCAAGGCATGCAGTTATCGTGCTCCGGGGATGACACAATCCTGGATCACCATGTTCTTGGCTCCTGCAGAGTTACTGAGATCTATTACAGGCACCGTGTCATCAACGTCATCCCGCTTGTGGAACCATCGATGCAATGCCCAGTTCAGAAGCTCATCTCAACAAACTTAGCAACTGATGTGTACAAACAACCTCAATCATCACAAGTTACAACCCTGGTACGTTGTTCAAGAGGTTTCACACCAGTAGATCAATATAGTATAGTAGGCCCAGCCTCTTGTCTCAGTAACAACACTAGGCAATTCTGGTATTTGGCATCAGCTTCCGCATACATGTCTGACCTTCCACGGGACTGCATGGCCATTTCTAAAGGCATCTCGATACCCTTCACCTATGATAAAAGAGGGCCAAACTCAGATGACTTCGCTTTCAACGAAAGAGGAAATGGAGTCATCAACTTTGGTGAAACAACATTCACTTGGCACCTCAATAACATTACAGATGTCTGCCAACAGTGTGAACATGAAGGTCGACACTGTGGATTCAGCTCACGAAGGCGTCAAGCATTTTGCCAGCACCATGGTATTCTTTCTTTCCCTAGTTGAAATCTCATATAGTGTGTCTTTTATTTTGGAGCAACATTCTAGATTTTCTGTTTCTCTGTCCACTAGTTTGTTGAACTCTTATATTCTGATGTGAACTGTTTTTAATCTTCCGACAGGATTTCATCTATAGTTAAGTTATTTAACAAAAAATGTAATGTAGAGAAAAATTGTATCCATGAAAATCCCCAAAAAAACATTCGTCAAGAGGTTCAAGTGCCAAATTGTATGGGAAAACTTATGACCATGGACTATTTTGTAAATTCAGACCAAAAAAGTAAAGAGATAAACCTTAATTGGCCATTTTTCAGATTGCTTTAGTTTTTTACAACTGAAGATGATCTATAACTTACCAAGAGAATGCATTAACCAATATAACACCCTTTGTCTGAGGTCCAATATACATGAAGCCAACCGGAAGCTACCACACATACAAATGTTCCCTACCACCAATGGTAGTTACCCTCACGTGAGTTTTGTACATTGTATGTAGTATCTGTCAAAACCAAGAGTATGTACGTGTAGTATGTAGTATATAAGAATATTTGGGTGGTATATATCCTACTTTTTAGTTAGTATGTACTATTTTTTAGTATATTGTTTTATACGTATAAATATGAAGGTATTTCAAAACATACAAAAACTATGAACTCTCATGCAAATTTTTCTATAGCTTGCTTTGAAATATCATAAATATAGTATATGGACATATGTACAAGCACGCGTGGTAGGATGTATTTTTCCCTATATAGTATATGTCCTTCCTAAGTCCACGGAGAACTCATGTAAGAATCAAGAATTAATTGTTCCAAAATTACTTTGTAGAAGTAATGAAGTAGCTCTTCAGTTTTTGTCTACATTAAATCATGGCAAAACTAATGATCTTCTTCCTACAAGCAGGTATACAGGTCATCCCAATTGCAGGTAATATTGCAACTCTCAATTCCTTTTCCCATTCTAAATGAAATTCTTATTGCTTACCATCTTAACTCTTTTGTGTTTTCTCAATGCGATAAGAGTTGGGAACACATGTCTTCTTATCTGAATGCAACTCACTAATTTCCTTTCTTTGTAATTAGCAGCATCATCTGTCGCTGCATTTGTAGTTCTTTCGTTGATGGTGACCACCGCGATCTATCTCTCCTTGAAGTCAAGGTACAATGAAGAAATAAATATGAAAGTTGAAATGTTTCTCAAGGCATATGGCACATCAAAACCCACAAGGTACACTTTCCCTGAAGTTAAGAAGATAGCAAGACGGTTCAAGGATAAACTAGGCCAGGGTGGATTTGGAAGTGTATACAAAGGCGAGCTACAAAATGGAGTGCCTGTGGCAGTCAAGATGCTAGAGAGCTCTAAAGGAGAGGGAGAGGAATTCATCAATGAAGTTGCAACCATTGGACTAATCCACCATGCAAATATTGTCCGCCTCATGGGCTTTTGCTCTGAAGGAACAAGACGGGCGCTGATTTATGAATACATGCCTAACGAGTCACTGGAAAAATACGTATTCTCACATGTTTCTAACATTTCTCGACAACTACTAGCACCCACCAAAATGGTAGATATTGCTTTAGGTGTTGCCCGAGGAATGGAATACCTACATCAAGGCTGCAACCAACGCATTCTCCACTTTGATATCAAGCCACACAACATTTTGCTGGACTACAACTTCAATCCTAAGATTTCAGACTTTGGCCTTGCAAAACTGTGTGCAAGGGACCAAAGCATCGTTACCTTGACTGCAGCAAGAGGCACGATGGGATACATCGCACCGGAGCTATACTCTCGGAACTTTGGAGGGGTATCGTACAAGTCAGATGTCTACAGTTTTGGCATGCTGGTATTGGAAATGGTGAGCGGGCGGAGGAATTCAGACCCAAGTGTTGAGAACAAGCATGAGGTATACCTCCCAGAGTGGATTTACGAGAAATTAATCACTGAGCAGGAATTGGTCGTTTCTTTGGAAATGACAGCAGAAGACAAAGAAAAGATGAGGCAGCTGACTATCGTGGCACTGTGGTGTATCCAATGGAACCCGAAGAATCGGCCATCAATGACAAAGGTGGTAAACATGTTAACATGGAGGTTGCAGAACCTGCAGATCCCCCCTAAGCCCTATGTGTCGTCTGAAAATCGTCCTATGCCACAAAACAGGACGAACGCATGAACAACGTTTGAGGTAACTTAACTCGCATTTGAGGGAACTCAACTTGCATCTGCGTTGTAGACTGTAATGCCTTGCAGTAGTATTAGTAACACTGAACTACATGGGATTCTGCAGTGGCATTAATACTGTATATGTATCTTATCATATTGTAGTGCTATTAATCAGAAACACATGAGAGTTGATTTTGCAACAGTTGAATAAGGCGAACTAGTCGAATTATATTATCCTGTCGTTTCTGTGATTTTATCCCCTTTACCCCCTATATACTGTGGCCATTTCCTTCTCAAAATCACAAGATGAGCGTGTAATGTAAGCTCTTTCTAATACAGTGATGAGCAGATCGCCTGCTTATTCCAGAAATAGAGAGGATCATGTAAGCAGGCGACAAATCATACGACTGCCCCCAGTTAATACTAGAAACTCAGGAATCATGTCCTAAGAACAAAAGGAGAGCAAGGGGATTACCATGGCAGAGCAGCGGATTGGGGCCGTTCCGGTGAGACGCGAGGGACGAGGGTACTAGGGGAGACGAGGAGCTCGCCTAGCCGACGCCGAATTCAAGCGGTAGCTGCGCAGGTGCGACGGCCATCAGCAGGCATGGCTGACGGCCGCACGGGAGCACGACGGGGGGTTCGCTCGCCGGCAGCCGGCCGCCGGCCGCCGCCTAGGGTACGGAGGAGGATAAGCACGAGTTGGGCTTTCTGGGTGAGATGGGTCCGGCTCGCCTGCAAAATTAATTGATCGGCAAATCGTAAATGCACAACAGGCCACACTGGGAGTGTTGTTGGGCCGTGGTCTCGCCGCAGTGAGAATCTCAGGCCGGGCCACGGTCCAATTTGAATTCGAACAAAGCACGCGGGCAAAGTCAAGGCGTGAAGGAAGAGTCTTACTTTCCCTGCAGCTAGGGTTTTGTTCCTCTCGGGGCGATTCCGATCGCCGCCGTTGAGATCTTGCCTTCCCTGCCCCCGTACTCCTCTCTGGCCCTCCTCTGACGATCGAGAGTTGCTAGTCTCCTCGGTCCTTGGTGGGGCGGGGGAGTGGGAGGTGCCTAGGGTTCCTGCAGAGGCCCGGTTTCATTGTTGATCGGGTTAGGGTTCGAGGTGTAATGGCGTCAGACGGAGCATCAGGGTCGCGGTCAGGACCTACAGATCCGGATGATGTGACGGCACTGATGAAGGAACTAGGTCTTCGTGAGGAGGATCTAGATGACGTGGTTTTTGATGAAAAAGAAGCACCGGTAGAGGCAGCGCGGTGGATTGCTCTCGCTAGGGTTCACTCGCCAAAAACCTATAGCCAATATTGGTTTTTCAAAAACATGAGGGCCGCCTGGGATCTTGCTCAGGAGGTGCAGTTCAAGCCTTTGGAAGATAATCTATACACGGTGCAGTTCTCTTGCTTGGGGGATTGGGAGAGAGTCACACGTGATGGTCCATGGCACTTTCGAGGGGACACTGTAATTATCAAACCATATGATGGATTGGCTAAACCATCAACGGTTTTGCTGGATACAATTGAGATTTGGTTGCAGATCCACGATGTACCACCCTTATACGCTCATCTTGTGCCATCTTTAGCAGCAAAAGTCGGAGAAGTCCTATATGCCGAGCCGCAGTCACAAGATTTCACGGGCAATTTCCATCGTGTATGGATCAGGATCAATGTCAACAAGCCGATGAAGAATGTTGTGTCGATGATAAGGGATGGGAAGCGCCAAATATATAGGCTAAAATATGAGAAACTTCCAGATTGGTGTGCGGTTTGTGGTATGTTTGGACATCAGTTTAAAGAACATGGCACTGGAATCCATCCTCCGTCATCATTGGTTTTCAAAGATTTGCGTGCTTCTTGGGTTCTCAGAACCGGGCAGGGGCCGGGAGGTGGTCGAGGCCGTAGAGGCGGCCGGAGAGGAGGCCGTGCTGGACGTGCAACCGAGCCGCGCCATGATCATGACAAGGGCGGCGGCGGGAAAGAGGGTTTTGGCAGTGTGTCAGATACGATTATGGATGATGCAAATAGTAACAGGAAGAGGGCGCCGGCCCAAACGCAACATGTGATTCAGCCAGGGAGTAATGCAATGAGCGACACAAGCCAGGGAGTGATGCTATTGCTTCTAGCTCCCTCAACGGTTCCAGCTAGTCCGAGCAGTAAATAGGACCAAAAGAGGACCAAGATGAGTACAGATGCAGGGGAGGATGATTTGGAAAACAGTGCCGGTCTTGGCAGGATCGTCTCTTCATTGGCGGGCTCCTTCGAGGGGCGCCGCCGAGCCCAATGAATATTTTCTGTTGGAACTGTCGCGGTGCGGGCAAAGCCGCGACAGTTCGAGAGCTTCGCGATTTCGCGAGGCTTTTTGCCCCTACCCTCTTATGCATTGTTGAAACACAGTTGGAAAGTGGTAGGGTAGAAGCATTAGCTGGTACGTTGGGTTTTGATAGCGCTTATGCTGTAAGCAGTAGAGGAAGAAGTGGAGGAATAGGTTTGTTTTGGAACAATTTAATAAATGTTGAAATCCTTGGTTATTCTGATTATCATCTTGATGTATCCGTCGAGGAACTAGGCAAAGAGAAGTGGAGGATGACATGTGTATACGGAGAGGCGCAGACACACTTGAGGCATCAAACCTGGACAACTTTGAAAAACGTCAGTACTTTGAGAACCCTTCCTTGGCTCTGTTTGGGTGATTTCAACGAAGTATTACGTCCAGATGAACATCATGGGATTGGACAGCGGAGTAATGCTCAAATCCAGGCTTTTCGCGATGCCGTAGATGTTTGCATGCTGCTTGATTTAGGCTATAAAGGAAATTTTTGGACCTTCGAGAAGAAAGTAACGGGAGGAACCTACACACGATGTAGACTTGATCGAGCTCTTGTGAATTCTGATTGGTTGTCAATGTTTCCCTTGGCATCGGTAACACACTTAACGGGAGTCACTTCGGATCACTCTCCGTTGCTGCTAAATCTGGATCCTGGGATCAACGATCGCGTCAATCGTCCTTTTAGATATGAAACAATGTGGGAGAGACATGACAGTTTTCGAGATGTAATAAATCAGGGATGGGGTGGAAGCCCGCCATGTGCGACAGTAGATGAGCTGCGTCAGAAGCTTCAGAACCTTTCAAACGACCTGGGAAGGTGGAGCCGTGATACGTTCGGAAGTGTGAGAGAGGAGATAAAATCGTTGAAGAAATCCTTGGATGAACTAAAGAACGATCCCTTGAGGACATGCCCTACACATGCAGAGCTTAAGATCAACGAGAGGTTGATAGAGATGTATCATAGAGAAGAAATCATGTGGCGTCAGAGAGTGAGAGTTGAGTGGCTTTCAGCGGGAGACAAAAACACAAAAAAAATTCATCTGCGAGCCAGTCTTAGGAGGAAGAAAAATATGATCAAGGCCCTTCAGAATTCGTTGGGAGTGGAGATATCCGACCCTGGAGAGCTAAAGACTTTGGCTTATGAATTTTATCACTCCTTATATCTCTCCGAGGGGGTGCAAAACATGGACGATGTTTTAAATCATGTGCCACGCAAGGTGACAGCAGCTATGAACATGGAACTGTGTGCTCCATATACTAAGGAGGAAGTCAAGATTGCTCTCTTCCAAATGTTCCCAACCAAAGCTCCGGGGCCTGACGGATTTCCTGCCCATTTCTATCAGAGGCATTGGGACGTTTGTGGTGATGAGGTAACAAGCATAGTGCTGAGAATTGTAAGCGGTGAGGAGAGCCCAGAAGCCATCAATGACACCGTGCTTGTGTTAATCCCAAAGGTAACTACCCCTACAGTGCTTGCTCAATTTCGTCGTATAAGCCTGTGCAATGTTTTGTATAAAATAGCCTCAAAGGTGATAGCCAATCGATTAAAAGTGATATTACCTGACATAATATCGGAGGAGCAATCTGCTTTTGTCCCCGGAAGGCTAATCACTGATAACATCATTTGCGCATATGAATGTTTGCACTTCATGAAGAGGTCCAGATCAAAGTCCAATAGCTTCTGTGCTCTGAAACTGGATATGATGAAGGCGTATGACAGATTAGAGTGGGACTATTTGCGAGGGATCATGACAAAATTGGGTTTTGACGGCCATTGGATAGATATTGTCATGCGCATGATTTCTTCAGTCTCATTTTCCGTGTGTTTCAATGGGGAAAGGCTAGAATCATTCAAGCCCACACGAGGTATCCGGCAGGGAGACCCGATTTCCCCCTACTTGTTCTTGATCGCAGCAGAGGGCCTCTCGTGCCTCCTTAATTCAAGTTCTCAGTCGTCTCCGACAGGTATTCAGGTGGCTCCTACGGCTCCTACCGTTAACCATCTCCTGTTTACAGATGATAGCATGTTGCTATTCAAAGCCAGTGGGGAAGGATCAGTTCAGGTGTCAAACCTACTTGATATTTACTATAACGCTTCGGGACAGAGGATCAACAATGATAAATCTTCGATTTTCTTCAGTAAGGGTTGCCCGGCACAGTTGAGAGAGACTATAAAGAACAATTTGCAGGTCCAGAATGAATCATTGAGTGAGCGCTACCTGGGTATGCCAACAGATGTTGGTCACTCGAAGAATGGTACGTTCAAATATCTGCGAGACCATGTCTGGGAAAATATTAAAGGTTGGATGGAGAAATTGTTGTCTGCGGCTGGCAAGGAAATTTTGATAAAATCGGTTGCACAAGCGATCCCAGTCTACTCGATGGCATGCTTCCGTCTGCCAAAAGGTCTTTGTGATAGCATCACATCAATCATTCGTCAGTTTTGGTGGGGCTCAAAACAAGGGAAGAGGAAGCCGAGTTGGGTAGCATGGGATACCATGAATCTGCCGAAACATTTAGGAGGTTTGGGGTTTCGTGACTTGGAAATTTTCAATCTTGCATTACTAGCAAGGCAGGCATGGCGTATGCTCATAGACAGTACATCTCTTAGCGCCCGGATTCTAAAGGCAGTATATTTCCCTAACTGCTCCTTACTTCAGGCTGAGCTGGGAGCCCACCCATC